CATGCAACGAAAAATGAAGCAAGTGCCCGCGCGCGCATGCCGGATTCTTTCAAATACCTGCAATCGCGCAGTGATTTCAGCAGCGAGACCCGCGCGCGAAATCATATCAAAGCACATAGTTTCGCAGCGAAGTTTTCAGAATAAGCCTGCTCACGCGCTCTCGTGAGTTCACAAACGTGCCATGCACTCTTTAACGTTGGTAAATTCTTACCAAACGGGCCCCTCGTGCGCGCGCGTCGAAGTCGCCCGGATGCCCGCGCGCGCGCTGTCGCGAAAATCCTTCGCGCAGAAGGGCGAAGTGCGCGCGCGCGTCGGCCGCGCGAGCGCGTGCCGAAATTCTTCCAAATCTTGGGGTCGCGCAGAGACTGCAAGAACGCGACAAAACGCGCGCCCCGAGACCGAATGCCACGAGAAGGTCAGCATTCAAACTACTCATGCTCGAGGTCTCGCGGGCCCCATAAACATAAAGAAAGAGCGGGATAGAGAGAGAGAGAGAGAGAGAGAGAGAGAGAGCGAGAGAGAGAGAGAGAGATAAAGAGAAATACAGAGAGATAAAAAAGGAGAGAGAGAGAGAGAGAGAGAGAGAGAGAGAGAGAGAGAGAACAACAATAATAAGTACCAAACACAAAAAACGTGTTCCCCAATGGGCTCGTTCAAATTATGCCAAAAAGAGCTCTCGCGCCGAACGTCGAACTCAGTCGAACGCCCATGCGTGCGCTGGGGCGGGGGGGGGGGGGCGGCGGTCGAGATCCGCATCAAATAATACCGCGCGGAACGCTCGCGCGCGTCGGCCGCCGCGCGCGCGTCGAACTCCTTCAAAAACCATCATCGCCAACGCGAGGCCGTCGTCATCGTTGACAGCGGGCGCGATCAACGTCGGAGCCACGATTGCCCTTGCCGTCGTCATTGCCACCATCGTCACACATCTATGATCGCATCTGCCGCTGAGCCCGCGGCGAAGTGCCCAGCGGTCAGCGCCGCCGCGGCCGCGTCGGCCGCGCCAAACATTCTGGCCGCCGCGCGCGCGTGCGCGCACGGGCTAGCGCGGTAGTTAAAATGATCCAGCCAACGCCGAGCACTCATCCCATTTGTCGCCGCATGGGAGTTGCATGCCAAGTTGCGGGCGGGCGGGTGGGCGGGGCGTTTGCAAGGGCGTGGGATGCGTCAACTCATGTAGAGAGCAAATTGCACAACATGGATTCTCCATTCAAAAAAAGAATGGAATCCACCGAGCTCCCGGATCCGAACTTAGCGGTTCCCCTGTTCGAGCAGCAATTTCAATCTGAGTCTGCCCGATGGCCCATCCGAAAAACGAAGTCGCGCCATCCCAGGGGGGCCGGCCTCGACCCCCCCCCCGCCATCCTCTGGGCAAAGACAACACCATGCGCGCGCTCCTTAATCGCAAATCATAAAATCCCAAGAATCTCTCGCGCAAGATTTGACGAAGCGCACGCGCCCACGTCGTCGCGCGCGCATGCCGCAATCCTTCGGGGACATCGGTCTCGCAAGGGTTTCATATTCGAGTGCCCGCGCAGTACATATCTACACCTATATATATATGTATATATATACATATATACATATAAACATATGTATATATATATATAGGTATGCATATGTGGAAACAAAACGTTTCGCATCATCGCGCCGTGGATGTTCCAAAGAACTTGCGCGCGCGCCCTTGCGTTTCTTTTGATAAGCCATCGGTTGGAACGCCACAGGCGCGCGCTGTCGCAATCGGATACGATGCGGCAACATGCTCTTGCGCGCACCAACGAGCGCGCGTGCCGAAATCAGCCAAATACCTGCGGAATCGCAAGGGCTTCAAAATCGAGCGCCCCGAAACCATGCAAAACACGCACGGTTTCGCAACGTCAGTTTTCACAAAAGCTTGCGCGCGCGCTCAAGCGAATTCTTCAGAATTGACCCCTCGCGCCGCATGCGGAAATCATTCGCGCGCCCTTGCGCGCGCGCTGGGAGAAAGGGGGGGCGCGACGCATGTCAAATAATGTCGCGCGGCCGCTCTCGCGCGTCGGCCGCGCGCGCGTCGAACTTCTTCCAAAACCATCGTCGCCGACGCGGGGGCGCCGTCGTCGCCGTCGGCGTGATCAGCATCGGCGCGCGCACTGGCCGCGCCGTCGTCGCCGCCGGCGTCGTCGCCAGCGTCGCCGCTATCATCGTCGCGTCTAGCGTCGGCGACGTTGCCATGATGCCGAGCCCGCCCAAGTCGCCGATTTGCGCTGTAGTGCCCGCCAAGACGCGCCGAAAGGCCAGCGCCGCCGCGACCGCGTCGGCCGTGCAAAACTAGCAGGCCGCCGCGCGCGCGCGGGCTGGCGCGGCCGCGGAGATGCGCCAGCGCTCAGCACTCGTCGCAATCGCCGCCGCATGGGGTTTGCAAACCAAGTTGTGGGCCAGCGGGTGGGATGGCTGCGCGAGCAGCGGAGTGGGCAACTCACTGCGAACAGAAATTGATTGCTCCAGTTAGACTGCGTCATATAGCCTATGGGTTGCACGACATCCATCGCACCGCGTAGAGGCTCGCGACATAGATCGAACCGCGCAGATGGCGCAACGTGGATTGCTAGGAACGCAATCTGCGGGGTCCACGCTGGCTGACGTTGCGTCATGGATCCGAGTCGGGGAACCCGAAGAGGGCCCTGGGAGACCGAGGCCGCGCAGAAGGAGAACTCCCCGAAACCGGCACCTCGAACCTCGCTCACCCTTCCTGATGGCCGGACCCCGTCCCGGGCCACCTCGGCCTCCCCGCCTGCTCCAGGCCCCGCTCGGCGGCAAGCCCGGGGGGGGGGGGGGATTTTTGTTGTCTCCGCCGAAAGGCTTTCTGCTATCTGCGCAAGCCTGAGCGCGCCCGCCGGGCGGCGCTAGCGACCTCTCAGCCCCCCAGGAGGGCGCGCCGGCACTGGCTGCTCGCGCTCGGCCGCGTGGGCGGGAGGCAGGGAAAAGAACGCGACGCGGCCGCGCTGCTGCTTCGGCGCTCGGCGCGTAGCTGGACGTCGACACGCGCCGCGCGCCCGCGTGCAATTCGCCCGCAAGTTTGCCAGTTCGGCCGAAACAAGCAAGACGGAGAAGCAGGCGGGCCTGGGACAGCCCCGACACTGCTGACAGAGCGAAGGATGCGGAAGTCGATGCCTCCTCCGACGCTCATGGGCAGAAGGAGCGCCGGGCGGCCCTCGGGACTTCAGCCTCTGGGGCTGGGGGCGCTAAGCTCGCACTCGTGAGGAGAAGGGCTCGGTTCTGAGACCCGCGGACGCGATGCCCTCAGCTTCTGGAGCTGAGGAAGCCCTTGCCCTTGCCGACGATGCGCGAGTCGCACTCTTCGTGGGCGTCGTAGGTCTTACTCTTGCCCGCGCCCTTGAATTTCGACACGGCTTGGTCCGTCTCGGTCTCCGTCGGGGCCTGCGCCTTCGCGGGGCGCGCCACGTTGACGGGCCAGTCGCAATGTAGACTCGTGCGCGCAGAAGGAGCCCGCCACGCGCGCAGAGACCGCGACCTTTTGTGTCGACCTGCACCTCATTCGTGAACTTCGAGGGCGGCTCGAACTCCGCCTTCTGGCCATTCCTCATCATCTCCTCCACGCGCTCGGACTTGAAGCCGTTCTTGGCGGCCCCCTTGCGGCTGCGACTGTTATCCAGGATCACTGCGTCCTCGTCGACGAGCTCGAACTGGCGCATCTCGATCTTGTTATCGTAGTGGCCGTTGATGCCGACGATGGAGGCGTCCTGCGCACTGCGGGCGCGGGGCCGCCGCGCCGCCCCCCCTGTTGCCGCTTGGCCTCCTTCCACCACTGGGGCAGCGCCTCCGCGCCCTCCCCGAGGAGGCCATGCTCCGCGACGTTCTGGAGCGCCGTCGCCCCGCCGTCGATCTCGATCGGCCAATCACGGAACGCCGCCTCGACCTTCGCTCGCAGGACGGGCTTGAGCTCGGCCCGCGCCTGGATCTCGTGATCCGCCTCCTTGTCCTCGACCTGCAGGTTGCCGCCGCCCGCCTGGGCCGCTCCCAGAAGGCCACCGCTGTGGCCGCCACCGCCTGGCGAGAGCCGCCCGCGCGCACAGCAGCACCGAAGAGAGCCTCCGACATCGCGCCGGCCATGACCGTAGCCAGCTCGAACCAGGGGCTGGGCGAGCAAACTGCTTGGGCCAAAATGACTGCGGAAAGGGGGGGGGGAAAGAAAAACCTTCTCAGAAGGCTCGGGGGCCCCCTGGCGTTCCGAGGCGTTTTCGCGAAGCCTTCCGCGAATTTACAACAGTTTCTCAGAATGCGCGAGGGTTTCGGAGACGTTTTCGAAGCCTTCCCCGAAGACGAAGAAGCTTTCCAGAAGGCGCGAGGGCCTCTGAGAAGGCCCGCCACTGTATGAAAAGGTCCGCCGCCTTCTACCTTCCCCCCCTCGTTCGCCGCCGACCGCCCAAAGATCGAATCTGGACTTGTTCGTGACAAGATACCCGAGTCTCCGGCGACCCGTTTTTGTTCGCAGCCTGGGCCCGTGGACATCTCTTGACCCCCTGCTTGCAAGCGGCAGTGTTCTGTCATGGGCACGTGGAAGGCCAAAAACATACTAGTATGAAATGTCCTTCTTTGAGGCGCGCGTCCGACCCGAACATCTAGTGTACCCATCTTGAAATATATATCGTTTCCCGAGAGGTGTGGCCAGAAAGCGCCCGCCACGACGCATAAACTATAGGATTTCTCGGTGCCCGCGTCGCCCCTGGGAGGGCGGCGCACATGTAGTATAAGTGTGCTGGGGTGACGGACCTGGTAGTGATGGTGTTGGGGCGCAGCCGAGAATATGGGCACGAAGCTGATGACTTACAGTCAACTCGCCGCCCTCTGAAACACGGGCCGCGCCCCAGGGCCCCATGCCAAGAAACGCCCTGCTTGCCTCCAGGGTGCCCTGGGTTTCTTGGGTTTCGATGGTTCTGCGATGGAGAGCGCGGCGTTCCCACGACTAAAATCCATGGACGTCCTGGGGTCTCTCAGGGTTGGGCTTCCTGTGGAACATTTCTTGCGGTCGGGCCCCCACTGCAATTTGCAGTCAACTCGCCGCCCTTTGAACCACGGGCCGCGCCCTGGGGCCCAAAAGGAGGGGGGAGGCCTTCGGCTCTCGACCCCGCGGGCTCGCCAGCCGCGCCCCCTGGCCGCAGAGGCGCGGGCCTGGCGGGCACAGCGGGCAGCACGCCCCCCTCGCGATGCAGGGGCGACTCAGGAGAGGAGCGCCGCCCTCGAGCCCCGCCTCGCGGAGGCGGAGGAGGAGGAGGAGGAGGAGGAGGAGGAGGAGAAGGAGGCGGAGGAGGAGAGGGAGGAGGAGGAGGAGGAGGAGGAGGAGGAGGAGGAGGAGGAAGAGAGGAGCAGGAGGATGAGGAGGAGGAGTCCGGAGGAGGGCAGCCGCCGCGCGCCACCACCGGACCCCCCCCCCCCCTTGCCGGGTCCGCTCCGGGGCCCCCCCTGGGCCGGGCCCTGGCGGGAATGAGCTGCAGTGGGGCCCCGGTTCAGGGCTCGAGCTGAACCGTGCTTCGTTTCGTTGTGTGTTCGTTTCCCTTCGTCCCGTCCTCGCTCTGCCTCTGTTGCGAGACAGCGTGAAAACGAAAGCGGTTCACGAGATCGCCAAAACACCGTTCGGCTCGAGCCCTGACCTGGTTTAGTGATGCCTACCCGTCGGTCGGAAGAAGTAGGCAAAACCATGAAGTAGGAAGACGTTGGAAGGAGATCGGGTTTCCACCCGCCCCCTGAAGAGGAGGAAGAGGGGAAGCCACTCGACTCTTGAAGTAGGAAGGCGGCTAAAGCAAATTGGATCTGGGAATCCAACAAGAAACCTACGTTTAACGACATGCGGGTACTTGGGGTCACTCGCCTGCTACAAGGGGTAGAATTTCTGGGGGGCCCAGAGCCAGCGAACGGCAACTAAGGAACGCATCTTTTCTGAGAAGTTTACTGGCCTGGGCAACGAATATCCAAAAGAAGTCACGAGGCATTGACGTGGACGACATGGCTGTGAGACGAATGCGGCCCCGAAAATCTAAGGAATGGAACTCGCCTTGTCCTGACCCCCTCAAGAGGCTGATCCCCATTAGCAGGCGAAGAACGGGGGATGCTCCACCGCCCTATTCCACTCAGCGGAACCGTCACCACCCCAGGAAACACCGCACCCGAACCCCCGACGTCATGACTTTTTCATGACGTCGACCCCTTGAGGTTTCGACCCATTCCCCAAGACCGGTTTTTCGTCCTGACTCGTTGTTTGACGGTCCCGAGGCCCGGCGAGGGCCCCTTGCGGCCGATAATAGCGAGAAAAACCTCCCGTCGTGATTTTGTTCATGACTCGTCCCACAAAGGCCGGGCGACGACGCCGTCGGCCGCCGTCGGCCGCCGTTGTCGGCAGTCGTCGGCCGCCGTCGGCCGTCGTACGCCGTCGGCGGGGGTCTTCGTATAAGCCGTCGAGCGGAGGCGGAGGCGGAGGCGGAGGCGGAGGAGGAAAGAGGGGGGGAGGAGGAGGACGAGGAGGAGGAGGAGGAGGAAGAAGAGGACGGCCCATTCTCGGAGCGAGGAGGAGGAGGAGGAGGACGAGGGGAGGAGGAGGAGGAGGAGGAGGAGGAGGAGGAGGAGGAGGAGGAGGAGGAGGAGGAGGAGGAGGAGGAGGAGGAGGGGGTCTGGGGACATGCTCTAAAGATTCCGGCCCATTCTCGGGGCGCCGGGGCCCCAGCACTGAGCGGCTCCCCCGTGCCCAGGGCCCTGTCTGTGCAGCCGACGGGGGGCTATGGCGTGCGCCCCGCCGGCGGCCGACGGCGGCGAGGCCCTCGGCGGGCCTCGGGGCCGTCACGAAACGACGCGGGCCTCGGGACGAGACGCCAGGCCCAGGATCGCTAGACCCCCTTGAGTCATAAGGAAATCCGCCGACCCCTTGGGGTTCATCGGCGTGTGAGATGTTCCCCCTCCCCAAACCCCTCCCCCGGGAGCCCGGTCCGGTCCATTTGGAGGGGGGGGGGGTCCGGCCGGACGGCCCCGGGCGGCCCGGACCCCCCCGGAGGTCTCATCCGCTCCCGAAAATCGTGGAAAAAACACGTGACAATCGTGTAGGGACGCGTCTGGTGGCTTCGAAATGGGTTTGGGACGCCCCACGAGCGCTCCAAGACGTCCAAGTTGGCTCGAAGACGGGCCACGAGGCGTCCTCGACGGCAAAAGTGGTCCCCACGGGCCTCCGAGATGCGTTCCACAAGGGTCCCTAGACGCAAAAATTGGGCCATTCCCTTTGTGAAATGCACATTTTTAAAAAGATTCAGCTTTGGATCTTTCCGATGCTCCCCGACGGCCCAAAGAGGCTCCCAAACCCGCTCCCAGACGGCCCCAGAAGCCTCGCAGAGGGTCCCCCACAGACCCCTAGAAGGCTCAAGATGGGCCAACAGGCGTCCAAGACGGCCCAAGAGGGCTCCGAAAACGGCCCCAAGATCGTTCCAGCAGCGCTCCGAGTTGCCTCCACGAAGCTCCACATGGTCCCAGACGGTCCAAGAGCGATCAGAAACATCGACGACGACCTCCCGACGGCTCACGAGGCCTCCCCAGACGCCCCCACAGGCATCCAAGATTCCCCCCAAGAGGCCCTCTAGACGCAACAAATCGCTCGTTTCCTTCGTAAAACGTATATATGTTCACGCGTGCGCCTTTGGGGGTGTCGCCCGCTCCTGCACGGCCCCAGAGCCACCCAAACCCGCTCCCAAACGGCTCAAGACGCCTCCAAGAGGGTCCGTACATAGCCCTCGAGGGCCCCAAGACGGGCCAACTGACGTCCAATACGGCCCAGAAGGGCTCCGAAAACGGCCCCGAGAGCGCTCCAGGAGCGGTCCGAGCGGCTTCGAAGAGAGCTCCACATGGTCCTCGACGGTCCAAGAGCGATCCAAAACGCTGTCGACGGCCTCCAGACGGCTGAAGAGGCCCCCAAGACGCCCCAAGAGGCATCCACGATGCGCCCCAAAAGGGCCTCTAGACGCAAACAATCCCTTGTTTCCTTCGTCAAACGTATATTGTTTTACACGTGCGCCTTTTGGGGTGCCCCCCGCTCCTGGACGGCCCCAGAGCCACCCAAACCCGCTCCCAGACGGCCCAAGACGCCTCCAAGAGGGTCCCAACAGAGCCCTCGAGGGCCCCAAGACGGGCCAACACGCGTCCAAGACGGCCCAAAAGGGCTCCGACAACGGCTCCGAGAGCGCTCCAGGAGCGGCCCGAGCGGCCTCGACGAGAGCTCCACATGGTCCTCGACGGTCCAAGAGCGATCCAAAACGCTGACGACGGCCTCCAGACGGCTGAAGAGGCCCCCGAGACGCCCCAAGAGGCTTCCACGATGCGCTCCTGGAGGGCCTGTAGCTGTATAAAATCGCCCGTTCTCTTCGTCAGCCGTATATTTTTTTCGCACGCGCGCCTTTTGGGGTGCCCCCTGATCCGGGGCGACCCGAGAGCCTCCCAAGACCGCACCAAGACGGTCCAAGAAGCCTCCACGAGGGCCCCGCGACAGGCCAAGAGGGCGCCAAGACGGGCCCAGAGAGGCCGAGGACGGCCCAAGAGAGCCCCGAAGACGACGCGCGCGCGACTCGCGGCTACATTCCTCGCAATTTGCGTTGCTTCCCGCCGTGCTCGCCACTTGCCTCCGCAGGGCGTTTCGGCGGGTCTCTCCGCGGCGCCCGTCCCGCCTTATAGCACTTGGCGCAAACCGCCAGAGTGCCTCGGTGGAAATAATTCTTCTTCTGGGCTATCGACAGATGGCCGCCGTCAGTGAACGTAGGCTTTGATCCGTCCTTCTTCAGGGGACACGCGGAACATTCCAACTTCTTCGCAACCTGCCTTTGCCCGTGGCACGCGCGGCACACCACCGAACGATGCTCCGAGCCCATCGCGAAGAAGTGCTCCACCTGCTGATCTGTCAGATGCGCCCTGTCCGTGAATTCTCGCTCTTTCCCATCTGCTTCTTTCGGGCACGCGGAGCGCGAGAGCACTCGCGGCCGATTGCGTTCTTCCTGGCACGCGCGGCACATGACTGGGCGATGGTTCGAACCCGTCGCGAAGAAGTACTTCACTTGCGTATCAGTCAGATGCGTCCTGTCCGCGAATTCTCGCTCTTTCCCATTTGCTTCTTTCGGGCACGCGGAGCACGTCAGCACTCGCGGATGATTGCGTTCTTCCTGGCACGCGCGGCACATGACTGGGCGATGGTCCGAACCCTTCGCGAAGAAATGCTCCATTCGCTTATCTGTTAGGTGCGTCCTGTCCGCGAATTCTCGCTCTTTTCCATCTGCTTCTTTCCGTCGCGCGGAGCACGCCAGCACTCGCGGCTGATTGCGTTCTTCCTGGCACGCGCGGCACATGACTGGGCGACGGTCCGAACCCTTCGCGAAGAAATGCTTCACTTGCTTATCTGTTAGGTGCGTCCTGTCCGTGAATTCTCGCTCTTTCCCATATGTTTCTTTCGGGCACGCGGAGCACCTGAACACCCGCGATCGCTTATAATGCGTGTCGCAGTCGCGGCATTTCACTGGCCTATGGGCTGCGCCCGTTTTAAAATAGCGGTTCATTTGTTTTGTTGTCAAATGCGCCGCGTCCGTGAATTCTTGCCCTCTTCCGTCTGTGTCTTTTGGGCACTCCGAACACCTCAGCGGTTGTTCCTGGTGCGCGCTTTGTCGAGCAGTGTTCGTTGCATTCATCCACTCCGTTTTCTTCTGCGATTGGCTCCACTTGTTCCATCCAAAGACGACCAAAGAGACTCCCAAGAGGCCTCCCAACCGGGCTTCAAGAAGCCAAACTAATTGATTTGCCTAAGCTTTGTAAAGTGTTGGGCCTTCTTGCCTCTTCGAATTTCCGACGGCACGAGCAGCCCAAACAGGCGCCCAAGACCGCAACAAGACGGCCAAAGAGAGTCCCAACAAGGCCGCAAGAGAGCCCGAACACAGGCCAAGAGCCGCCCAAAACGGCCCAAAAGAGACCCAAAACAGTTCGAACAGAGGCCTAAGACAGCCCAAGAGGCGGCCAAGACGGCCCAACAGAGCCCCACAACGCCACAGGAAGCACCAAGAGGCCTCTAAGAGGCACCACGAGGCCACCAAGAGGCGCACACGAAGCCGAAAAAGACACCTCTGAGGCACAAAATATGCTTCAAAACGAGCTCCCCAAGGCACCGACACCGACAACATGAGCGAAGGCGACGCGCTGCGAGCCCCCCCAAGGGGTCGGCGGTGTGGCGTAAGCCCAAGAATCACGACGGGAGGTTTTTCACGACGGGAGGTTTTACCAGGCCTCGGGACCATCAAGGACACGACTCAGGACGAAAAACTGGTCCGTGGGAGTGGGTCGAAACCTCTGGGGGACGACGTCGCGAGAAAATCATGACGTCGGGGATCTGGGGATGGGGTCGAGACTCCCCGGGACCCCGCAATGAACAAACCCCGACAGGGGATCTCTGGGGACACTCCCCTTGCGATCACCTATGAAGCACGAGGCTGGGGGACCCCCCTGGGTTACAAACGATGCCATTGCTCCACCCCGGGCGTTGACACCCGGTTTCGGGCGCCAGGACACTCGCAGGTCGACACGGCCCGAAGAACACTACAGAAAGATGGGAAATGTAGGGGTCCGACGAGGAGGAGGAGGAGAGGAGGAGGAGGAGGAGCAGGAGGAGGAGGAGGAGGAGGAGGAGGAGGAGGAGAAGGAGGAGGAGGAGGAGGAGAGTATCACCTCCCCGCCTACAGGCAAGCCCTACAGCGTCGCCTTCCATGTTGCAAGTTTGTTCGCAAAATCGGATCTCGAGGGCCCCGGCACGCGATGCCGAAATTTGACTCCTGCGGGGCCCTCGGAGCCCCGACCCATTTTATCCATACCGAATCGTCTCCTGACGGCCACGGGAATCGGCTGTGGGGCCCCCCTCTGGACGCACGTTCGAGACCGTGGGCCCCTCCTCCTCCTCCCCCTCCTCCTCCTCCCTCCTCCTCCTCCTCTCCTCTCCTGCTCCTCCTCCTCCTCCTCCTCCTCCTCCTCCTCCTCCCCTCCTCTCCTCCTCCTCCTCCTCTCCTCCTCCTCCTCCTGCTCCTCCTCCTCCTCCTCCTCCCCCTCCTCCTCCTCCTCCTCCCCCTCCTCCTCCTCTGGAGGCAAAACGGGGAACTACTGACCCGGGTCAATCCAGACCCAGGCCAGCCAGGCCTCTTGCAGGATCCTGCAAGATCCTGCGCCCAAGCCTGAGTCAATGCACGCGCTCTGGCTGACCCCCTCTTGCATCGACCCCCGTCTCTTGAGCCCCAAGCCCAGACCCCCGACCTCACGGTTTGTTCACAACGTCGACCCCTGAAAAGTGCGACCCATTCCCCAAGACCGGTTCTTCGAGCTGAGTCCTCTTCGACGGTCCCGAGGCCCAGTGAGGGCCCACGGAGGCCGAGAACAGCGAAAGACCTGCCGTCGTGATTCTTGCAGGACTCGACGGGGTCTGGGAGCAAGGCCTGGCTTGTACACACCGGCCCTGGGGCACAAACCTGGACGGCCAGGGCCAGCAATGGGCCAGGGTTGCCCGCCCGGCCGCTCCGGGGGCCTCGCCGCATCTCGCCGCCCCCAGAGGTAGCCGACGGCCGCGCCCAGGGAGCCCACCACGAGGGTGTTTAGCAGGTTGGCGACCTCAGGGGGACAAAAGGAGCCGCGTGAACAGATAGCCTGCGTTGTATCAAATTGTTCCGCTGTGGATGTGCAAACTACGTGGTGTAGACTGGATGGTGCAAGATACGCGGTGCAAACTAGGTGAGAGAGCCCACCACGGGGGTGTTTAGCAAGTTGGCGACCTTTGGTGAAGAAGGAACCGCGCACACAAATTGTACACAGATCCCCTCGCGCTGTGAACAAAAATCGCGGCGCGAGGTGTTTTGGCTCTTGTCGGCATCCTGGGTCCCTTCCCGGGCCTAAGGACCATCAACAAAAACGACTCCGGACTCAAAACCGGTCCCGGGGAAGGGGTCCAGGCCTCCGGGGGTGGACGTTGCGAACAAAATTGCGACGTCGGGGGTCTGGGTAGCCAGAGTTGACCCCAAATAGTGAGTTCTTGCACTGTGGATGTGCCAGCTGCGCGGTGCAAACCACGTGGTGAAAATCAACTGGATGGTACTAGATACGCGGTGCAAGCTAGAAGCGGCGACTGGCGGCAATGTGGCGGAACCTCGCGGGACCCACCTAGCGCCCGAAACGGTAATGAGGCGACACCGTGCGGCAACGTGACGACATCTCGCCAATCCCATCCCAATTCTTCTGACGCAAGTCAGAACCTCTATACGTGAAACTGGCCGTCGCTCGGACATCCATTTCCCGTGCATTCTTCGGTTTCGTGCGTTTTTTGTTGCTCGATGGTCCAGGATGGTCCTCGGTGGTTCTCGCCGAGAAAACATGCACACGTCCAAGCGATGCCAAGGCAACTGCTGCTTGGGAAAAAACTGGTGGGAGGCCCGCGCGGGTGTCTGGGATCGGCGCTGGACCCCCCTCCCAGTCCTGGCGCGTCAGGGGCGGCGCCGGATGCGCCGCCAGGGGAGCCCAGCGTCGATGCAAGAAACCCGCGCGGAACTCCCAGGAGAGGTGTACGCCATGTTTCGGTGCCCCGTTTTGGCAGCCAGGCGAGGCCCCTGCCCGGGCAAGAGGCTCGAGGACCCCTTGAGGACGTGTGCCAGGAGAACCAACGAATTGGAACGACTGTTTGGTCCGCGGACGCAAGCGAGCGGGCGTCGGTCGAGCAAGCGGCGGGGGCGCAGCGAAACAACTTGAGGCACGAAAGCGCGGGAAGACCAGAGGGCCAGGAGTTATGGAGCATGGCCACTCAGAGCATGGAGTTCTGGAGCATTGCCACTCTCCGCGCGGGCAGGAAGCGAAGGCCAGTCAGAACATGGAGTTCTTCGAGGGTGTGCAGGAGCCATGCAGCCAGTCGATCCCACATAGAGAGAGAGAGGCCGTGAGCGGAAGACATTGCAGTAGTGCTGAGAGCCCGCGACCCAGCAAAGGGAACAAACGTACCCATCGGTCGGAAGAAGTGGGTAGAAACATGAAGTAGGAAAGAGTTGAGTGTACATTCGGGTTCCCGCCCGCCCCTTAAAGATGCAGGGACAAGGAAAGAGGCTCGTTGATTGAAGCAGGAAGGCGCCTACGGATCTGGGAGTCCAGACATACAGACCTTCAACGACCGGTGGGTATTGAAACCTCTCGGGCTGGAGGGCGTTCGCACAATTTCGTGTATGCTGCTTGTTTTTCCCCGAGGCCTCGGGCTTGAGCACGGGGGCAACGCTCGTGGCCGCGGCCGCGTCGGGGGCGGCCGCCAGCGCGGCGGCCCGGACAGCGCGGCCACCGAGCAGCTTGGAGCTCTTGGAGGGCGACGGCGGTAGGACCTGGAGGCCGCCATCGATCCGCCACCCGAGAAGGCTCTTTCTGGCCTCCACGGCATCACCTCCGAAGAGAGCAAACCTGCAGGACCTGCAGTACCTGCAGGACCTGCAGGACCTGCAGGAGTCCAGACACCTGTGACCGAGGAAAAACAATTAACAATCACATCGCACTAAGCGCCATAACTGAGCGCCCTGGGTCAGGAGAAGATTGCGAGACATGTTGAACATGCCGCGGCCCCAAACGAGCAGCACGACATAGCGAAACCAACACTGGTCGTCCATAGAAGACAGCGTCACCTGGGGCAGAACCCCCCTCCACCGCCACAGTCTCCGCCATCCTCACAGATCTGCCAGGTGTTTTCATCATCCTTCTCGACGTCGTCCTTACTTCCCCCCTAGCTCCATTGAAACATCTATACCCATACATCACTCACTCACAACACCAAACTGTCCAAAGTTCCGAAAGGCAGATCTGAATAGGATACAGAGAGGAACCTAGACGGTGCTCGCCATCGGCGCCGCTCACATGGTTATGAGCGGCCCAGCGTGGAATCGGTGGGCCCACAACCCAGCTCACCTCGCGCCGCGAGCACGGCCTTTCCCGTACCCCCGTCCTCGGATATATATATATATATATATATATATATATATATACCCCTACCAAAGATTCCCGTGGCAGGCTATAGTACCTCAGGGCCCGAGAGGGGGAGACCGAGCTGGTCTCGACGGCCGTTCCCTTGCAGGATGGCCAAACGGCCCCCGCCGTGTCCCCAGGCGGCCCCCAGGCAGGCCCTCCCCCCCAGAAGGCCCTCGAGGGGGCCAGAGAGGCCCCCAGGAGGCCTTGCAGAGGTCCCCCGAGAGACCACCAGAGGTCTTCCAAACGGACCTCGAAGACCTCAACATGTGCGCCCAAGAGGCCACAGAGAAGACCCAACATGGTCTCCAACGCAACGTCCTTCCGGCTGCGCTGCTGCCCTGGCGCGGCGTTAGGGTTTGCCGCAGGCAGCTGGATATATGACGCCACCTGGTCTGCCAGCAGCACCTTGGCGGCCGCGCCGCGCATCACCTCGATGGCGTTGAAGTGCTGCTTGCTGGCGGTGGTGACGCCGTCCTCAACCAGGACAACGTCGTACTGCAGGCTGAATCCATGGAAGACAGTCGAGATGATGCAATCATCAGTCCATGCGCCCACCTCAGAAGAGCCCAGAATCGAATCGATGAGTCGGATCGGCGACCGAAATGAACCGGATCGGCGGTAACCGGCAGCCAAGATAGGAGAAGTCGAATCGGCGGAAGTCGGCAGGCCAGTAATGCCTCCATCAAGGCACCGAACTCCATCGGAGACCGAAATCGGATCGAATCGGAAGAGGAATCGATCGCGATCGAATCACATCGAGCGGGAGGAGTCGAAGTGGGCCCTGTCACCTGGACAATCGTGTCCACCCCCAACTTCTGCAGCTCCGCATGCAGCGTCTCCTGCCCGTCCGGCACCAGCCACTTCATGGGCCGCTCGTCGAACATGTCCAGCGAGTAGCTCTTGTGCATGACGCGTCTCCTCTCGTCCTCGGTCACCGGAGCCACGTCGGACAGGATGTCGCCGCCGTTGGGCAGATGGTTGTACAGTGCGTTGAACTTCGTCTGGTAGCCAATCGGGCCATAGAAACGGTCCATGGTATTGAAGAAGCCGTCGTCGGGGCCGAAACGCCACCATGTGCTCCAGAAGATTGGGAGCCCCGCCTTGCGGAAGGCTTCTATGAGCGTCTTCACTGGAGGGACAATGCCGCGAACATACTCCTCGTACTCGATCTGCATGTCGTCTATGAGGAGCGCGGGCGTGCGCTTGCGATCCGTGAGATCCCAGGCGCACCAGAAGTCAGTGAGCACCGGGAATTGCAAGGGATTGGTCTGCCCAGCTCGGAGGGCGAACGACAAAACCTCGCACACCTCCTCCTCAATACCGCCACCCTCCCCTCCCTCCCCTCCCTCCCTTCCTCCCGGCCTCCCTCCCCCCGTCCTTCCCTCCGTCCTCCTCTCCCCTCGCCGTCGTCCTCCGCTCGCCAGCTTACCTCTCCTGCTCTTCCACTTTCTCCCGCCCCTCCCCCGTCCTCCTCCCCTGGAACGCTACTCCCACGACCTCTCCTGGGGTGCGTTCTGGACCAGAATTTCGAGCGAATCCAGCGGTGGCGACCAAGGCCTCCAAAAGACGTCCACAACGAGGAAAACGAGCCAGGCGCAGCAGCATCAGTACCCTTTCCACCTGACTACCTGCCAGACCACCCCAACCCCTCCCGACGACTCGAATTTCGGGATGGGGGAGGGTACGGGATCTATTCTATATGTATGTTCCCTATGTTCCCCGACCCCTCCCGCTGGAAATGGAGGGCAAATTGAGGCCTTCGGGTTAGGTTGGGGTGGTTTGCTAGGTCGCGGCCACCTGTTGCTCCTACCTCCTAGCTTCCGCTCCCTCTCCCCTCCTGGGCATCCGACAGCGCGAACCACATCACGCCCGGAGACTTCGGGATCTCTCCGTAGAATGTCCCGTGGGGGCCCCGGAGCCCGAAGGTGACGAGAACGCTCGCTGTGCGTATACGGTCGCGACGCCTGGGCGCCCAACATTATCGCCCTGCTCCTCTTCCCCCCCCCTCCGTCCTCCTCCTCCTCCTCCCCCACCGCCCTCTCCACCTCCTCCTCCTCCTCCTCCTCCTCCTCCTCTCCTCCTCCTCCTCCTCCTCCTCCGCCACCTCCTTCCAGTCCTCCCTCCTCCTCCTCCTCCTCCTCCTCCTCCTCCTCCTCCTCCTCCTCCTCCTCCTCCTCCTCCTCCTCCCCCCCCTCCTCCACCTGCCCCTCCCTCCTCCTCCCTGCCCCTCCGTCCTCCTCCCGCGAGCCGGCCTTCCCCCCTCCGGGATGGTGGCAGACGCGCCCTCCGTCGAGTTCCCCAGGGCCGCCGCCATCCTGGCAGGATCGATCCGCTGGCGCCGCTCCATCCTCCGACTCCTCCCCTGCTCCCCCTCCGCTGCTGCCTCTCCTCCTCCTGTTGGCGGCGAGCGAGAGGGGGAAGTTCGAGGTTCGAAGTTTGAAGTTTTCGGGCGTCTTCGTCGGATCTCGGCGATTTTCCAGCCTGGAGATCCTGGCCAGCAACTGCGCCTCGCCGTAGGCGTTCCGGGGGGGCCCGGATCATCCCGAACGCTGGCCGGAGACCCGAGTTATGGCCCCCAAACCAAAATCTGTTTTTCTTCGTGTCTTCTTTTGCATCTTCGGGGTCGGCATCGAACACTTCTCAGAAGGCCGGGGGGCTTCCGAACCTTCTGAGAAGGCCTTCTCCTTCACACTTCCCCCCTCGCTCGCCGCCGATCCTGATCCCCTCGTCCTCCTCCCTTGGACTCCGGCAGGAACCGTCGGGCACCACCGAGGGCCCTCGAAGGCCTGCGCAAACTCCGCAGTCCTTGGGGCCCCACCCTCAGTTTCTGTAACAGCCTCTGAAGGAAGAGGAGGTGCAGGAGGAGGAGGAGGAGGAGGAGGAGGAAGAGGAATGGGAGGAGAAGGAGGAGGATGATGAGGAGGAGGAGGTTTGGCCCACGGAGTGCGTGGTCTTCCTTTACTTGAAAGCAACATGGCAACATGGAGGAGGGGGAGGAGGAGGAGGAGGAGGAGGAGGAGGAGGAGGAGGAGGAGGAGGAGGAGGAGAAGGAGGAGGAGGAGGAGAAAGTGCAGACAGGTGAAAACAAGCCCGTTGCGACTTTTGTAGCGACGATTTTGAGCGGGTTTCGTTTTTTGTTCGAAACTAGTGCCCAGACCTGTCCTGGAGCGCCATCTGACCAAAATCTCGATCGCGGCTGATCCTGCCGTGGCGACAAGACCCCTTCCGGAGGCCCAAAACAGTTACAATCGTCTGAATTCCCCTTCCCATCTTTCCCTCAAGAGCGGGGCGGTCCATACATCCTGCGCCATTCCCCAATTAGGTTCTGCCTGAAAGGATCTAATTTGTTGTTGAAGAAACCGAGGATTGTAGGGCCCTTCCTGGCTGGCATTGTCCGAGGTTCCTCGGCGTTGTGCCGGTGGACGCGGCCCTCGGCGTTGCCCAAGGCTCGTGGGGGCTACTAGGTGTCGCGTGGCAATGCCAAGCGCTGCCAAGCCATGCGCCGCACAGCCAAGCATCGCCACGTAATGGTAAGCAATGCCGAGAAGTATCCATCAATACCAAGCAATGTGAAGCTATGCCAGGCGACGCCAAGAAACGCCAAGCAACGAAAAACCTCTGCCAAATTAAAGCCAAGGAAGGCAACGCAAAGCCACGCAGTGCCAATCAAGGCTGAGCAATGCAGAACAAACCAATGAAAAATACCCCCAAGCAATCTCATGACATGCCACGCAATTCCAGGCAACGCCAACCCATGCCAGGCAACGCACGACAATGCAAAGCAAGACAAAGCAATGCAATGTCAAACGACGGCAAGCAATGCCAAACAATGTCAAACAAGTTCCAAACAATACTGTTCAACGCCAACGAGTGCTGAGCCATAACAACCATATTTAAAACAACGATTCCAGACAAAACCAAAAGACGTCAAGCAATGCGGAGCAACGGACAGCCAGTGCCAAGCAGTACCAAACAACGCCATGCAATGTCAAACACTGCCAATCAAATCCAAGCAAGGCCAAGGAATACCGAGCCACTAAAACATAATGCCAACTAGTGCCAAGCAAGGCCAAGCAACGATCCCAAGCGACGTCAAGCAATGCCAAGGAATATCAAGCAATAACAGACGATTCAAAGTAATGGCAAGCCACACGCTGCATCGCACAACCTTGTATTGTTCAGAGCTGCTGTTACCTTCGGATGAAATAAGACCCCACCCATGGATCGCGACGGGCTTATGCTCTTTGCGAGGCTTTATGCCCACAGCCCAGGCACGGTGGCGGTATGGGCCGAATGCAATAAAAAACATCCAGAGCAGTCATCCCGACAAACTGGGCTTGTTCACCACCAAACAAGTTGGAATGGTTAGACTTGGAAGTGAACGCTTTCTGATCCGGCGTTTCGACATTGAGCCCTCCTCGTAGACTCTCGATCACCCCCTCTTCCTCCTCCTCGATAGGGGTCAGGAGGAGGCGGAGGAGGTGGCCAGCCCGCACGGAAGACTAGGGGCTCAGGCCGGAAGGAAGTCAACGTGAAGCTCGGGGCGGACGAAAAGATATGAGGAACATCCGAGAGGCCTCGCGCGGCGACTTGAGACCCAAAGTACGTTGGATCCACGGCGGACTCGCGTCGGATTTACGTCGGACTCACGTCGGAGTTACGTCGGGCTTGCGTCGGAGCATCGCCGCGCGAGCGTGGTCCCATGTGACGGTGCGGCCGTGTGGACCAGGTAGTACCACTATTGCGCGCCGCGCGAGGCCTCCAGGACTTCCCCTGATGGGGGAAAAAAGGAAAGCGAAGGGGACGGCTGATGCACGTTTTCTCGTTCTGCGTTTCGGCATTGGGCAACAGGGGGAGGGAAGAGGGGGGGGGAGAGTCTGGCTCCGGACCTCTGCTGCACGCGAGACTACACCTCAGGCGATGCTTAAGAAAACTTAAGTTTTCGTCCAGAGTCTCGGTTATTCTTAAATTTTCAATGTGAATCCTAAGATTTTGATAGAAGTTCTGGGTTTTTATTCAAATTCTGAGACTCTGAGTTTCTTAACCCATGATTTCTTAAGCATTTCGCAGGGTGTATGTGCAGCAGCAGCAGCGCGCCCCGCGGGGGAGGGACCCCGCCTGCCTGAGAAGGGGGCGCCAAGAGCAGCCAAGATCTGCCCCACGGAGGGGGGAGGGCAGAAGAAGAAGAAGAAGAAGACACGCCACAAACAGAAACTTATGGCGCTCCGCGCGGACTTCTTGGAACTGCGCTGGACCCCCGCCAGGGGCGGCGCCGGAGGCGCCGCTGGGGGGGCCTCGGGCGCGGAGCTTCACGCGGAGCGCCCAAAGTTTCTATTCATGGCGTTTTTGATTCCTCTTAGAAAGGGGGGGTGCCAGGGCCCGCGCCCATCGGCAGAGCAGGGAACGAGAACAATCGGCTGGGCGAAAGGGGGGGATAGCAAAGGGTTTTTTTTTTTTTGAGAATCGGCTCACGTCGCTGATCTTCCCGGCGCCTCCCAGCGCCGGGAGGCGGCCATGTATCGAGGAATGGGCCCCTCGGTGGGGCCGAAACCAGCTGCATGCAGCAGCAGGAGGAGGAGGAGGAGGAGGAGGAGGAGGAGGTTCGTACCCCCCCCTTTCGTCCGGCCCGAAAAAAGGATCGCAGCGCGAGTCAGCTCACGCAGCTGCTCTCTCGGGCAGCGCCTCCAGGGCGCAGGGGCGGGGCGCCGCGTGCCGAGGGCAGGGCGCCCGTCGGCGGGGGCGGGGGACCCGGCCGTGTGTGCAGCAGAGCTCTGGCCCCCCATTCGACTACACCCTGCGAAATGCTTAAGAAATCATGGAATGTAACCCAGAACTTCTATCAAAGTCTTGGGATTTGCATTGAGAAATTAAGAATAATCGAGACTCTGGACGAAAACTTAGGTTTTCTTAAGCATCGCCTAAGGTGTATCCCAGGCCTGAGCCCAAGGCTCATGTGGTGCCCACCCTACTTGAGGACCGCATCCCAGAAATGCTTTCGAGCACCCCTAAAAAAGTGTCAAAAGAGTGCCGAGACGGTGTCGAGCGAGTGTCTCCCGGGGCCCGACACGTGCAAACCCTTGAATTTCGGTCCTCTCTTGGGGGGGCTCGAAATTCTTCGTGGTGATCAAGACTGAAGTAGGTTGGAGCATTGAATCATAACCCAAGATCCTCGTCCCTTCGAGTTCCCCGCGAAGCCCGAGATGCGTCGGCACGTCTCCGGTGGCAGTCCTCCTCCTCCTCCTCCTCCGCCTCCTCCGCCTCCTCCTCCTCCTCCTCCTCCTCCGCCTCCTCCGCCTCCTCCTCCTCCTCCTCCTCCTCCTCCTCCTCCTCCTCCTCCCTCGGATCTGGGCGCTTCGCGAAGCGTCCCCGACGAGCGTCCCGCTCGCGGGCCTCGCGGACGCTCTGGCCTCTGCCACGACGTCGGACTTCAGGGCTCCCCCGGCCCCCCTGCACGGTCCTCCTCCCCCTCGTCCGTCCGCCCCCCCACACGCCGCTCCTGGGCCCGGGATCGGCGCATGTACTCTTGGAGGCTTGGGGGAACGAGCACCAACACCAAGACGAGGGGGTATGCCTGCACGGGGGCCAAGCATGGTCCTGGGCTTTGGTATTGTCGTGTCGGGCGAAAGGGGGGGATAGCAAAGGGGGGGTTTGAGAATCAGCTCGCGTAGCTGATTTTCCCGGCGCCTCCCGGCGCCGGAGGCGGCTATGTATCGAGGAATGGGCCCCTCGGTGAGGCCGAAACCAGCTGCATGCAGCAAATTTCGTAACCCCCCCTTTCCCAATCCCCCCCTTTCGCCCGGCCCGATATTGGGTGTAGACTTTCGGACGCCCAGGAGGCCCGAGTGTTACCACCATCGCCGAGATCGGAATCATGCACCCTCTGCGGAGGCACACGGCCGATGGGCGAAACCGTGAAAAAAGAAACGCTCGCTACGCTGCTGCTTTCCTGGGCGCCCCTTCCGGCTCCAAGTAATGATTTCGGGACCGAGATCTTCGGGACCAAATAATTTCTTGGGTCAAAACCGTTCTCTGGTCCAAAGAATTCTGCTGGTCCGCAAACAATCTTTGGACCCGGGACACAACAGCAAATATTTGGATAGGCGCCGCGTGCCGAGCAAAGGGCGCCCGTCGGCAGGGGGGCGAAACCAGCTGTGTTTACGCGGCAGACTTTCGGCCCCGCCGCCCCCCTGGCACGATCCTCTTCCCCCATCGTCCGTCCGCCCCCGCATGCCAGTCCTTGAGCAGGGACCGACCGCCCCGGCATTCCCATAGGCCTGCCACGAAATGTTCTTAGAACCCAGAAGTGTTCTGATAATAAAACAATGTTCTCAGAACATAGACCCCATGGTTTGAAACAAGATAGTCCCAGCCAGACATGTTCTAAGAACAGTTCGTGGGAACCACGAAAGGTTCTCAGAACATTGTTTGGTAGGCCTATAAGCACGCAAGGACGCTTCGCCACTGCTTGAAATCCTGTGGGCCCAAGGCTGGTGTTCAGTAGGGGCCCTGCCACAAGAAACCTTCTCACAAGAAAACCAACCCTGAGACCCCAGGAAGTCCATTTATTTTTTGTTTGGGAGCGTCACGCTCAACATTGCAAAACCATCGAAACCCAAGAAACCCAGGGCACCCTGGAGGCAAGCATGGTGTTTCTTAATATGGGCCCCTACTGTATACTTTGGGAGGCGTGGAAATAAGCACTAACACCAAAACAAGGGGTTGCCTCCACAGGGGCAAAAGATGGTCCTGGGCTTTGGTGTTGGGTGGAATCGCTCGGACGCCCAGGAAGCCCGAATAGTACCACCATCACCGAGATCGGGATCATGCACCCTCGGTGAAGACACACCGCCGAACTTGGTGCTGGTGACAAGTTCGAGGCCTCCGATACTTCGGAGAACAGGAAACGGCATTGGCGCCAACACCAACGCAAGGGCGTAGCCTCAACTGGTGAGCGTGTTCTGATTCGGCGTTTCGACATTGGACGGAAGGGGAGAAAGTCTGGCTCTGGACCTCTGCTTAGTGCGACTGTTTGCAACCGTGCGCCCTATGGGGGAGGGACTCCACCTGCTCGAAACAAACGCCAAAAACAGCCAAGATCTACTCCATTGGGGGGGGGAGGGTGCGAGGGCCCGCGCCTATCGACAAAACAATGAATAAGAAAACGATCACCTGGGCAAAATGCTCTTCGATTTTGGTGACTGTGGTCGTCTCCCGGCTTCCTCAGGAGCCCCAGTACTGCCACCATTACCGACCTTGGGCCATAGGCTGGCCTGGCCGCCAGCGGTGCAGGCGTAACGGTCGCGTCGCCGAGCTGAAGAGGCGCCTCCCCGACCCTGCTTCCCTTCCACGCTCCTCTCGCTCCTCTCTCTCCTCTCCCTCCTCGATCCTCCTCCTCCTCGGGCACAGGGAAGAAAAAGATACATTCGGATGCGGATGATTCAGGATCTCTGAGAGCTGCCGGTCCTGCAGCAGCCGCGGCCGGCTCAGAGCACCAGCGGAAGGCTCTCAGGGCGAAGGTCCCCGGAGTCCCGAACCCTTCCCAAAGGCCAGATCTTCAGCCCGAGTCGCTTCGTCCCAAGGGCACGGCGACGGCCCCCCGGGAGCCGAAAAACGGCCCAAAAACCTCCCGTCGTGTGTGTGTGTGTGTGTTGTATGTGTGTGTTGTGTGTGTGTGTGTGTGTTGTGTGTGTGTGTGTTGTGTGTTGTGTGTGTTGTGTGTGTGTGTGTTGTGTGTGTGTGTGTTGCGTGTGTGTGTTGTGTGTTGTGGGTGTTGTGTGTGTTGTGTGTGTGTTGTGTGTGTTGTGTGTGTGTTGTGTGTGTGTGTTGTGGGTGTTGTGTGTGTGTGTTGTGTGTGTGTTGTGTGTGTGTTGTGTGTGTGTTGTGTGTGTTGTGGGTGTTGTGTGTGTGTGTGTTGTGTGTGTTGTGTGTGTTGTGTGTGTTGTGTGTTGTGTGTTGTGTGTGTTGCACGGCGCGAGCACGTTTTTTTGTTCCGTCAGGCCCCGCCGGTCGGGGGACGCACGTTGCCCCCGGCCAGTCCGCTGGAAGCCCGGCTCGCCGTGCTCGGCCATGGCCGGCAGCGGCTCGGCGGCGCCCCCGCGGGCCAGCGTTGCGAGTCCGCCTGCTGCTGCTGCCGCCGTCGTCGTCGTCCTGCTGCTCCGGCCTCCATCCTGATCGTCCTCCTTCCTCAGCATCCTTCTCGCTCTCCACCTCTTCGTCCGATCCCTCCTCCTGATCCCCTGAAGTACTCCTCGTCCTTACAAACACCCTCCTTCCCTGTCGCACCCCGAGACGGGTCTGCAGGGCGGGTCGGGCGTTTCCCCTGAGAAGTCCTCACCTTTTCTGTTCTGATCGCGTGAAATTCGCAGCAATGTCATGAAGGGAGGGCGGGTCGTTTTCAAAATATGGCTCTCGCCTTCGCGCCGCGCGCAGCCGCGACGACGACGACTAAGAGAACAAGGAGGAAGGGCGAGCTCATTTCCCGCCGAGGAAAACAGGGGGGGACAAAATTAAGAGGGAGCGTGATCCACCGCCGCTTTACTGCGGAAAATTGCCAACCTTTTCCTCCGGAGCCCGGGGGTCGCCCCCCCCCCCTCCGAAAATCCCCCCCCCCTGCTGGAACCCCTCCCCCCCCCCCCTTTCTCCCCCGGCAAAACCCCCCCTCCCCTAACCCGTCCCCCCCCCCCCTCCCGCTCGAAAACCGGGGGGGGTCACTACCGGTTCGAACCCCTCCCCCCACCCCCCTCCGGATCCGGAAAACCGGGGGGAGTCACTTCCGGTTCGAACCCCTCCCCCGAGCATCAACAACCGCATAATCTTACGGTGGATGCAGATTATACGGTGTGGTGATGACTCTTACGGAGTGCACCCGTAAAACTATATACCATGAGAAGGAGGATGCATGAGGAAGAGAGGGAGAAGGAAGGAACGCTGAAGGAAGGACGACGGAAGAGAATGGGGAGGAAGCAGCAAGGCGAGTGGAGGGCAGCAAAACACAGGGGCAGGAGAAGATGATATATGGAGGGGAAAAGAGGGTAGGATCGCCTGGGGGGTCAGGCGGAGACGGCGGAAGCCGTGTCAAGAACATCAACAACAACAAAGGCATTTTGGAATCGTCTTCTGGCCTCTTGGACTGTTCCTATAGGGCTCTCTTGTGGTTTGTCATGTGGGTCTGTTGGCGAGGGCTTCCTTGGGTCCATTGGTGTTGGGTCCTCTTTGAGTCTTGGGAGCCTATTAGGATTATCTTTGAATTTTGTTGAACTGTTCATATGCATTGTTTTTATCTTTGTTTTGTTGATTTTGGGCCACTTGTTGCGTGTTTTTTTTTTTTTTTTAATATAAAAAAAAAAATGTGCTCAGCCCCATGTGTCCACATCGAGGTCCAACAACAGTTCGTCGAACACGCAGTGCGCCCACTTGCACAGCATGGACTCCGCAATGGTGTTCGGATGAACTGTGTGCGCTATACGTATGAGGCGTCCCACCAAATCTTCGTCGGCATATGTCCACCAGTATGCTGGGTTTCCAAATTCCATCGATTGGTCGATAAGGTGATCGAAAAGATGCAATTTGGGAGCCAGTTTCCACACCCTGTATCTGCGCGTGAAACTCCAGCGCGCAAGCTTGCAATACATGCTCACGACCTGTCTGCCAATGGTTTCGAGCTCGAGTCTGGTGCCTTCGCGCATGTACAGGCTCTCTGTTTGAATGATGGCGTAGAAACGGTCGAGCTGTTGGCAAACACCAAGTGCGAGTTGGTCATGCATGCCCCAATGTGGGTCGTCGAACATTCCGAATGAACGCACAAGGTGCAACGCGAACGCAGTCAAATGTCTCACGGCCGCGCCGTGAGCCTTGAGCTTCGCCCAACCTTTTGTGCCTCGAAGTCTAGCCAGTGTGAGTGTGCCCTTGATGCGAGAATGAAGACCTGTTGTGTTGTACCACTGCTTGAGATGTGATGCCAACCGATCGGCGCCAACTTCAAACGAGCTGCCACCGAATACTTTCCGAATGCAAGCGTAAACAAACATGACGCTCCCGACGATACTGGCGGTCAACCCCAAATCCAATGTATGCAAAATGTCGACCATCACATTCTCCAAACGCAATCCGATGATACCAAATCCTGGTTGGAAGAATACTGGCACAGGCAACGCATGCAAAGCTAAATGGGCCAGGTATGCCTCATGGTTCCAGACCGTGTGTCTCCATCCTGCCTCAGGGCTCACGTCATACCAAACCCTTTCACGATGCACGTTCGATGCCCTGCAGAATGGACACATGACGTCAGCAGAATTCCACGCTGCGAAATAAAACGCTTGGCAGAAAAATTGCCAGTCTCCCCTGACTTGGCAAACCTGGCCTCGCCAGCCGTCAGCAAGTGTAGATCCGCCTCCAGTAAGGTCATACCCCTGCCAATCTTTCATCGGGGTCTGCCCTGTCAGCAAGACGTTGACACTCCAGGAGAAGGCCTTCATTAACTCGTCTAGAGTGTTCGGCAGCATGTCGGACTTCCTGATGCCACTGAATAGAAAACGAGACTGAACTGATGACGTGCCGCTGGCCGCGAGGCTGTTCCACGAAAGTCCAAACAACGAGTCGTGTTTGTTGAAGCCTCCGCCATCGGCATGGAAGCCAAGAGGAATTGTTTTGCTCCACTGTGTGCGTGGTAGATGTGGGTGCTGCTTCACGAATTTCGACTCAGCTATACCGCTCCAGAAATGTTCGCACGAATTACTTGGGCCACACAGGCGCTGCTGAAACAAATCAGGCCGCTCACTAAACATTTTTTTTCAAAAACACATGTGGCCAAAGTACTGGATGTGGCGTGTTGGGACCCCTCTTGGTAGGAAGCTTTATCCACTCAATCGGCGCACACCCACTTGGCCATCCGAACACCCTCTTGAGATCGCGGAATAGGTTCCCAGGAAGCTCGCCGCAAGCACCAGCATTCGCTAATCGATCAAGTCCAGTGGCACCTTGTTCGCGGGCACCATGCGAATACTCTTGAACGCGTGCAGAGCTAAGAATACCAGATCCCCAGTCTCTCTTGAGAGAGCGATAAAACGGCAATGAACAACAACTCTCGGCATCAGAAGGGGCGTTCTTTTCCAACCGCTGCCGAACCCCGCCTCTAACACGAGGAAGATCGCTCGGTGCTGTGCTCAACTCGCCCGACGGACTAGCATCGACGTCAGTCTCTGCCAACCTCTGCCTCAGCCCGCGCTTCGCGCCGAAAACTTGCTGGCACAGCACGCACGCAAGAACGCGCGATATATGAAGTACGCGCGGCTCGCGCGAATGCATTTCTTGAGCCACAATGGCTACGGAGAAAGAATCCCAAGCGAGAGCACATACTCAGTGACAAACTTGTTGCATAGATCGCTCAGACTCGTTAGCAAGGAAAGCTGGCTCATAGCTTATAGCCGTCATGACTTTCATCAAAGCTTCCAATCATCGTTTGAACTCTGTTAGGTGTTCTCGTAATCATGTCACCTGGGCCCCACGAGGACAATTGGGAGGTCTCACAAAGGCCCGGCACGGCATGCTGTTATTGTAATTGTTATTGTTATTGTTTTTATTGTTTTTATTGTTGTTTGTTGTTATGTTGTTGATGTTGTTGATGTTGTTGATGTTGTTGATGTTGTTGATGTTGTTGATGTTGTTGATGTTGTTGATGTTGTTGATGTTGTTGTTTTTTGTTCCTGCCACGCACTTCGCACCGTCGACGACTTGCCGCAGATGCTGTTGATGTTGCCGCTAATGCTATTGATGCTGCTGCTGGCGGCGCTGCTGATGCCGCTGCTCAGCCTCAGCCTCAGCCTGCCTCAGCCTCAGCCTCAGCCTGCTTCAGCCTCAGCCTCAGTCTGCCTGTTGCCTCGGCCTCAGTCTGCCTGCAGCCTCGGCCTCAGCCTGTCTCAGCCTGAGCCTGCCTCAGCCTGACGGTGCGACGTGTGAACGGGTATGCGTCAAGTCAAGTTGCCCAGGCCGAGTGACAAGGTGCTGCAATGGCCGTGGCAGCGATGGCTGCACTGAGCATGAGCATGAGCATCGACAGACAAATGCTGAGGATGAGGAGGAGGGGGACCATGGCTCGAGGCGAACGCACAGCTAGCAAGCGGGTACCACTCCCCATGGTGCTCAGCAGCGCTGAAGGTGCGCAACCTCGCAGGCAAACTGCCTGAGGTGAAGCTGCCTGTACTCCACGACTCACTACTTCTTGCGCCGCTTCTTGCTGTCCTCATCCTTGTACCCGTTGTTTTTCGAGAACTCGACGATCTGCGTGTACTTCGAGCGGAGCATCTCCATCTGATCGATCAGTTTGGGAATCTCTGACGGCGACGCCTGCTCGGTATGCATGCGCTCCAAGATCGATTTGGTAGACTTCATCTTTTTCAGGCAAGCCTCCACGTCACTGCGAAACTCGGCATGGTAGGGGTCGTTCTTCGTCTTCGCCTTGGTCCTGATGAGGCTCACGTCGAGATTCATGTCCTGAAACTCTCGCACCAACAGCGGCAGGTCGCTCTCGACTTTGGCCACCTTGAGCGCGAGAGCCTTCTTCTTCTGCTCCTCCGCGTCGGCGGGCTCTACCTTCACTGCGGTCGGGTTGACGCCGCTGCTCGATGACGCGGAATCCATCAGCTCCATGTTCGGACCTCCAGTGCGCATGGCCTGCTCCACGTCGTCCTGGGAAGCATCACTGCCCGCCGTCACCAAGAACTTCTTCATCTCCTGCTCTGTCATTCGCTCCCAGTTCTTTGGCACGGCGTATTCTAAGTATTCTGGTTCGGTGCGGCCAGTGAGCGAATCTGGGTATGCTTTCAGCACTGTCCGCCACGGGGCGGCCTTGGTAGGCCCGATCTCGCGGTCCATAGCCTCCACAGACATGCGGACCACATCCGTGAACTTTGAGCTGCCGGTGATCACCTCCTTGGACGCAGGCGCTGACTTCTGCGCGTCGCTGCAGCGGGCCTGGTGCGCGAGGAAGGCCATCATGTACTTCTCGGTGTAGCGGTTCTCTTTCGTGATCTCAGAGTCGGGGTTAGCATTGACGAATGCCTTGAGGCCTTGCTTGATGCTGTTGATCTTCTTCTGGTCGGCGGCCGCCAGCAGCCTCCTGGCGGCCTCTATCTCCTCCTCAGTAAGCTCACACGCCACGGATGACAGCTTCGCAGCGGCCCGTTTCGGCGGCATCTCCAGTGGGC